ACTCTGTTGCTCCTGAGAGGCACAGTTTAGAGATTTAAAGTAGAAATTCTAGTATACAAATGAGTAAATGCACACGATGACCGCTTCTGTCATGTATCCAGTATGTGCACACAGAAATCCATAGTACACCAGTACTCTTCCGTTCATGCAGCCCCTAAGTACTACGGATGTGTACTCTCCCCATTTCTACAAACAACTTTCCTGGAGCTTCCCAGTTCCTTGTTACAGAAGTCTAAGCAGATAATCAAATTAGAAATAATCCGTTTTAACTTCTAAATGAGGAACAAAGGCAACCAGTGCCTACATCAGAGCCTATTTGGGAAAAAAGTTGTATTTTCACAATAGACCATTTTATATTAACATAAGACAACCTACTTACTTCCAGGAATACTGAAACCTGATAGGTTATATAGGAAAGACTCAAAGACTGTCTAGGGTGGCCTAAGATAAAACATAAATATGATGAATTCAGATTGTTTGAGAATTGTCTCCCTCTATTAAGTTGAAATTACGTATTATTAATTCATGCCTAAGATTCATAGGGCTCATACTCTCACACTTTCCTCTCTTCTACTGGACCTTGGGAGCTCAGTCCAGTGCTCCGATGTGGGTCATTGCCTCTGTTTCTATATGTTGTGGGACGAAGGTTCTATGGTGATATTTAAGATAATCATCAGTCTGACTACAGGGCAAGGCCAGTTCAGACACCCTCTCCTCTATTGCTTAGGATCTTAGCTGGGGTCATCCTTGTGGTTTCCTGGGCGTTTTTCTAGAGCCAAGTTTCTTGCTAACCCCATAATGGCCCCCTCAATCAAGTCCTTCCTCCATCTCGACTATCCCAATCGCTCAAGTTCTCCTCAACCCTCCCCTTCTCCCCACCTTTCTACCCTCTGCCCACATGTTCCCAAATTTTGTCTGATGATCTTGTCTGTTTCCAATTTCTAGGTGGGTCTATATATGTTTTTCTTTGGGTTCACCTTATTACTTAGCTTCTCTAGGATCATGAACCTATGTCCTTTCTTTATAGCTAGTATCCGTTTATGAATGAGTACATACCATATTCATTTTTTTAGGTCTGGGGAAGTCAAGACCATGAGGGGTTCATCCACTGAGACAGTTTCCCTGAGCTAACGATAGCTCACCAACTCCAACTGGACCAGAAATGAATGAGCATGGGAACAAATTAGTCCCTCTAAATGTGGTTGACAGTTGGGGCAGTCTGAGTGGCCACTGACAGTGACAATGGGATTTGTCTCTACTGCATGTACTGGCTTCTTGGGATCCTATTCTCTTTGGATGTATACCTTGCTCAACCTAGATGTAGTAGGGAGGGCTTTAGACTTTCTACAGGGCAGGATACATCGCCCTCTCTTAGAATTGAAGGGTGTGGGATGGGTGGGTCTGTGGAGGGAATGGGTCGAAGGGAGGGAGTGGGAATTTGGATTGGTATTTTTTTAAAAGTAATAAAAAAGATTCATAGGGAATAACATGAAATTATGAATACTGCCAAAATTTTGTAATACTAATAGTAAAACTATTCCTAATTCCAGGACTTCTGCCTCAAACACAAGCAGCAGAAACTCCAAGCCAGCCTCTCAGCCATCTGCACCTCTTTTCCTTCATGGTTCTTGCTCTCAACGTGATTATTGTGGCTGCAGTCACAGTGAGGCATTTTGTAAATCAGCGGATGGATCACAGATACCAGAGGCTGCAGGTCTACTAGCTGCTGACCCTAAGAAGGCCCCTTGTCTTCTCATGGGTGCTGGATGAAACAGATCCCCATGCCCACAAGGGATAAACCAGGAAGACACGAAAAGGAAACACATGTACCTTTATGTTCATATCACTGTGATGGGTGTGTTTCATTAAGGGATGGCTGAAATGAATAAATATTATGTCTGGTCACCATTTTTGGACGAGATCTCACTATGGAGCTCTGGCCTGGAACTTGCCATGTACACCAGGCTAGCCTTGAATTCACAGAGACCCTGCCTCTGCACTTCCCGTGCCAGAACTAAAGGTGTGAGTCATTACATCCAACTCAGCTTCTTTCTCAGATGCTAAATAAAACATGTCGTCTATAAAAGTTAAAGAATAAATGCAAATATGAATGCTAGAGGTTCTAATTTGAAACTGAAGAGAAGGACAGGGCTCTTCAGCCCACTGCTGATGTGTATTCAGAGAGCCTCGCCCTCTGCAGCCCACAGAGGGGCTTTGCTGGGAAGAACCTGATGCAGAATGGGACTTCCGATTCCTTTCTGAGTTGTGAGATGAAACATTCCTCTTCTATTTCCTGTGGGTCTGAGCAGATGTTATTAAAGGCCCTAAAATGAACTATTTTATACCTGCCAACACCAAAGTTAATTCCATTAGACAAAAATACACAACCCCATTTTGCCAGCAAACCCATATTTTCATGTTCCAGATAGATCTCCATAGGTAGCTGCATCCCAGAATGCCAAAGGCTTTTGCTTCTTTTATTTTTGTTATGTTTTTCTTCTATAAATATATATCATAGTCACCATGTATTATAGGGAATCCACTGATATACAATGGATATAAAAGACATCACCCAGTCCTTACAGGCCTGCTGATTTTCCTGCCCTAAATCAAAGCAAATATTCTCCATTTACTTCCTAACATCTTAGTGCAGATCTTTCAAAGGCTTCCCAAATATTTATGCACTGATTCTCCTCTAGGTCCATCCAACAATTTAAATCTCACTACCGCAAACTCCCTTTTAATAAAACATAAAGCACCTAAAAGCTTCACTAGTTATAGGCAGATCATGTTGAATTTTTAAAAAGATTTATTTAGTTTTATTTCACATGTATGCGTGTTTTGCATGCATATATGTATGTGTACCACGTGTGTGCTGGCGCCTGGGGAGGCTGAGAAGAGGGTACTGGATCTCCTGGAACTGGAGCCAGACAGTTGTGGGTTACCATGTGGGTGCTGGGAGCTGACCTTGGGTCCTCTGTAAGAGCGGCAAGTGCTCTAAACTGGGGAGCCGCCTCTCCAGCATCACACAAAGTTCTTAAGACGGCACAACTGTCTGGTCTGGTCACTGCCTGTCAGCCATCTCGCTATCAGAAATTGATTATGTGTTCTGTGCTGGCAATCACGGTAGATATTCAGACACACTCCAGGCACGAATATGCCATTCTAAGAAAACTATGACGCATCGAGACTCAGTAGAGCTAATAGTCATGGTTACCATAGTAAAGTGATCAAAAGACCGAGGTCTGGAGCTGGAGAGCTAGGAACGCCCTTCCCTCTTCTCTGTTTGGATGTACTTCCCAGGTTACCTGCACCCTCTGTCTTTACAACTTCCCAGAGGGTTTGATAGGAGTTAATATCATCTGGGGATATGATAAAGGAAGGAGAGCATTTCCTAGCAACCAGGGGCATCTGTGCTCAACTCCCCACCTGTGAAGAGTCCTCTTTGGAGAAGGGCTGCTCAAATGGAGCTGTGAACTTGGGTAGGGCCATTGTCCTATGGAAGCTCCCAGGGAACAGCAGTGCTGAGCCCCTAGACAGGAGTATTCCCAGAAGCTTAGTGAAGGAGTGCCTCTATTTGAAGGACATGTGATGTCACCTTTGGGCATCTACCTCTAACTTTCCTTCCTAAAACATGACTTTCAGGATATCTTCCAAAGCAACAACTACTTCTAAGCGTTATTCAGGAGACTTAACCAAACATTACAGAAAGGCTAAAAGCAAAGGGTTAGGCACATGCCAGTTAGAGGGGCAGGGGTAGTCCACCCCACCTGGTGCTTTCTGCTCCCTTTAGGTGGTCACCTCACTCCTGGCTCTCCACTGGGCATGCTCAGAAAGAAAGGATTCCAGTTCTGTTCTGAATAGGAGCAGGCATGGAAGGCCAGGCTTCCCACCTGGTCAGCTCTGATAGGTGCGGATGAGGCTTCACTGCAGCCTACAGGTGATGAACACCTCAAACTCCATTCTGCCTTCTCTGAAATCATCCTGCCCTGGTAGAGGGTGGAAGCAAGTCTCACCAAGGTGATAATTTGTGACTGACACCCTTATAATCAAACTGAAATGGTCCTTAAGGTCATGTGAGTTGTTTGTCAGATTTCCACCTAGGTACCTCAGAGTTAGCCCTCTGGTCCCACAAGATGCCACCATCCTCCCTTCAGAAGGCAAGACTTCTTTAATCTTCTTTCTTACATGCTCTTTATCATCAGAGCCTGAAACAATTTCTTGGACAAAAATGAAGAATCATTTTAAATATTTCTACTGAGCCAGGTGGTGGTGGCACATGCCTTTAATCCTAGCAATTGGAAGGCAGAGGCACCGTAAATCTCTGTGAGTTCAAGGCCAGCCTGGTCTACAGAGTGAGTTACAGAACAGGCTCCAAAGCTACAGGGAAACCCTGTCCCCAAAACAACAACAACAACAAAAACAATGTTTAAATATTTCTACTGAATATTTCTGGATATTGGAAAGAACAAAACCATTGACTCTGTTCAAGTCTGTGTTCTTAAAGAGAGTGCACGGAACAGGGTCACATGTTCAAGGCCAACCTAGGCTAGGCACTGAGACCTTGTCTCAAAAGGTAAAACAAACAAAGTGACAACTTTGAAGGTTCTGGGTACAGCACAATCTGCTTCTCCTTCCAGGAAACAGGGAGATTAAAGTGAGGACAGACCTCTGCTTCAGGAACAGAACGTTACTGACCGCTCTTGTTTGCTCTTCAGCTTTCTTGGGTGGTTTTCCGATTTCTCAGATATTTTGAGAACATGACTGTGTACACATGTGAGGCTCACAGAGAAGCCCCTGATTTCTTATGGTTCTGTTTCAGCCCTTTCATTTGCAGGCTGAAAGTGGGGCCTCCAGAAGCTAGGCCCTGATCTCTTCCCTTCAAAACAAAACAGCTGAATGAACCCTTTTGAAGGTTGCTCTCAATGACTTGTGTCGTTCAGTTGTTCTGGTAAAAGAGTTTAAAGAAAATGAACAGTGGCTCCCAGAAAACGCTTTATTTTTATTTTTATTTAAATTTTCTGATAGCTGGCAGGATTTGGATATGAATTCTCACATTTCCAGAGAAACAGAAAGAGGCCCACCCACCTATCAACACTCAAACAGTAACAGATATTTAAAAAATAATCTTTAAGTGCCCACAGGAGAAAGAGAGACAACCCTGCTTTTTCTAATGGTCAAGGTTTTGAGAGTGAGGAATAACAGAATCAGCATTCTTTATTTTCCTATTTTGCCTACAAACAGACAAACTGCCTTAGAAGTTAGTGCTCAGGATTGGTTAGTGACAAACCCAGAGAAGAAATCCCTTGGCTTCTCCTGCCCATCTCAATGGATAGAGTAGATAGTACTGCCAATGTCTGGCTTCTGGGCTACCAAACAGTGCTTCCTGGTAAGAAACAGACCTTGCTTCCAGTTTCCTGACACACTCGTGTGACAGCGAGAGAGATCACACCAGGGCCTTGCTCTGATGGCCTGCTCTGTGGATCTTCAGTGGCCCCACTGTTTGGATGTATTCAGCTGATTCTTCGCTGGCCTCTGCAGAGCCTGTGCCTCTCCTCCCCCTCCTCATACAGCCTTGTGAGCATCGGGCAGACAGCAACCTTACACTGCAGGTAGACCACATCGTAGCTTTTGAGGAAGCTGAAGGCGTTGAACTTGAACTGGGCCACGTTCTTCCCAGAGGTATGGAGGTTGGAGTAGGAATTGTCTTTGATGCACCTGACGGGGAGGAAAACCCAGACCAAAAAGGTTAACTAACACATGACATGAATTTCCTTCAACCCACATAACCAGGCTGTCTTCTAAGGTTCTGAATGCCAAAAGGAGATCTTTCCACTACCCTCTCTTTTGTGAAGCGACAACTACTACTATACTCCTATACTACTATACTCCTATACTACTATGCTACTACTGCTACCACCACCTATGGTTCCAACACCATTGTTAATGGAAACCCTATACCTGGTCATAAACAGAAGGGAACCGTTAAATACAGGAAAAACAAGTCAAGGTTTTAGCTGTAACCTTTGCCTTTTAGCTCTACCCTATTTTGCCAAAGAAAAGATTATAAGGTAGATGTTACATTTAAAAATGTTACATTTAAAAAAATAAGGTAGATTATTTAAAAAGCTTACCATAGGCCTGGTAATGCAGGTCAGTGGATGAGTGTTTGGTTACCTATCACCCTCAATGCCCTGAGTTCAATTCCCAACACTACCAAAAGAAAGTAGATTGTAAGCTGTAGGGTAAGATAAGTGGGATACTAAGAGGAGATAAAATGTTGTTATGTAATATGTATAGATCAAAAGAATCAGAGAAGTTAGAAAAGGTAGGGAAAGAGCAAAAGACAAATGTAATGAATGGGGAATGGAATCTAATCCAACTGCTTGGATAAGAACGTTAAATATGAATGGTTCATATTTACACCAATGTAAAGACAGAGAATAGATTGCAGGAGAATCCACAAAACCTCCAGCTACGTGCTCTTTACAAGACAGCCATGTAAATACACAGACACTGATACGGAGATGGAGGGAGAGCAGCACAGCAGCTGCTCCTTTGCTCAGAACAAACTTCAGAGCAGGCAGAACTGTCAGGGACAAGATGGGTGCTTTGTAACAACAAAAGAAAGGGTCAGTCCTCTAAGAGAAACTCCTCACCCAAGATAATCGAAGTAAGAAACAATCTTTATCCCAATATAATAACCATTAATATAATGCACCCGCAAGCAGAGTGTTAAATATGGGAAGCAAAGGTAGCTGAAGTGAGATACTGACAAACCCACTGTAGTAACTGGATGCTTCACTATCCCTCTCTAAACCATAGATCCAGTAGGGAGAAAGGCAGTAAGGGTATAAGTGACCTGAGAAACACTGTCAATCTACTAGATCTTGTTGACATTAATTAAACAGTCTATCTAACCACAGCAGAATTCACATTCTCCTCAATCCAGGTAGAATGTTCATTAGGACAGATCATATTCTGGCCCACACAAAATATTTTAATAGTCATAAAAGGATAGAAATACATTGTAGGTAGCAATGGCATTAAACTTAAAATTAATGGCAGCAATCTTTCTGGGAAATTCTCAAATACGTGCAAGTAGACAGTATAAGAGAAATCTAAGACTGTTTTGAAAGAACTGAAAATGGTGCTTGTAGTGGTATGGGTGAGAAGAGCCCACAGAGGCTCACTTTTGAATGCTTGGTCCCCAGTTGGTGGAACTCTTTGGAAGCCTGGCTGGAGAATGTGTGTCACTGGGGTAGGTTTTGAGGTTTCAAAAGACTAGTGCCGTTTCCCGTGTTCTGTCTGCCTCCTACTTCTGAATGGAGATGGAAACTCTCCACTTCTCCTGCCGCGGTCCCTTCACTCTGCCATCGTGGACCCTAACCCTCTAAAACCGTAAGCCAAATTAAACTCTTTCTTGACAAGTTGCCTTGGTCACCATGTTTTGTCACAGCAATAGAGATGTAAATAATACAATACCTAACTTACCAAAATTTGTGGGATGCAGCTAAGGCAACACTTGGGAGGATTTATACTATTAAAATGCATATAATTTGTAAAGATGTCCAATCAACCTAAGATTTAAAGGCTAGAGAAAGGGAAACTAGTTAAGACTAAAGCAAGAAGAACAGTGTGCTACCTGTGACATCCTGATATCTAACTGAACTTCTCACCTTAATAATAAGACCATAAGAGGAGTCAGAAGGCAAGAACCTTCTCTCCCTAGAGCGCCCTCTAGTCTATGCATCTCATGCCACAGCTCCCAGAAACCTGTGGCAGGTGCTGTCTTGTTCCTCTGTTGAACTTTGGCAACAGGTGCCTCACTGTTCCCCAGGGGCCTAAGGTTACTGTGGCTCTTACCACACTAAAGCTGTCACTGAGGAAACAAGTTTCTTAACTAGCCTCCAGTTTTCCCTTCATGAGCGTTTAGCCCCTGACCTCCAGGCATGACCACTGCCAACGCGAACACAGAGCAGCTGGGATCATCCATACTTAGGAGACCCCCACACTAGGCCATTAACATTCCTTCATACAGGGAGGTAAGCGAAAGGTCATTAGCTCCTCAGCAGATTCCAGCCACTCCCTCCTTCATGTGATCTCAGCAGCGTGGGGGTAGGAGAGGTAGAAGGTTAACTGAAAGGGGCTCCATCATCCACATCATTCAGCAACGTTCACAGGCCTATGTCATCTATGCTGGGGTGGCACACTTGGGGGGACCTATGCAACGCCTTACTCATGCTTCTGTACATAAAACCAGAGACCTTACTGGTTCACCAAGATGAAATGGGGGCAGGCTTATCCTTTGTGTTATCTGGAGAAAATAGACATGTGTGTAATGTCCCCAGAGAAAGATATGCAGTAACACCTGCTAAGACATGAAGGAGCCACAGAGGCAAACAACTTGCCAAGGTTCTCATTTGGCAAGTCACTTGGTGAACCAATGAGCTCAAAGACATCTGGCTGGTTTAACTAAGAGCTTAGCTTGGGAAAACACATTGACATATTGGTGTGAGCCAAAGTCCTGAAGATTTGTCCTGGGAGAGGGGAACTAGAAAGGAAGGGAGGATTAGGCTAGAAAAGATGGGGTGGGCTACCAAAGTACTGAATGAGGTCTTTGAGGAGTCAAAGGAGGTTGTCTAGGCTCCAACTAGATCAGTGTCTGGTAGAGACATGCAGGATGTGTTAGAAATGTGTGGGATGTCTGGTAGAGCTATCCTACACCCTTCTGACTTAGGACTCTAGGTCAGACACTACAGGTTCCCCACAGAAACACCATGCACATTTAACACCAACTAGGGAGAGTTTCCATGTTCCTTACCCTTCCTGAATCAGTTCATGCTTGACAGTTGTGAAATCACTGGCGTCAGGGGAAGCCACACAGGTATCCACGACAAGCCTCAGATTGAGATTGTGGCTTTGGAGGGTGGCCTGGAGGAAGACCTCTTCCCTCTGATGGGTATAGGAAGGAGCTCCAACCCCCATATTCTGGGATGCAGGCGACTGGAGGAATGAAATCGACACATCGTAGCTTACGTCATCCTTCTGAGAGTCACTCCCATGCACAATTTCCCACTGCAGACTGGCCATCCACTTTGCAGGTGAACTTCACCTGGGGCACCTTGTGCCTCACGATGACTCGGCCAGGGTGGCCTTGAGTTCTGCCTCTGATGGAGTTGGAGTAGCTGAGAGAGCCTTGATGCTCCTGTGAGGATGAGAGAATCATAGGGAGTGAGCCTGGAACCCTGATGCTACGCTTTATCCACGGTGGAGCCCTTTCCTTCCCATAAGCGCCAGCTTCATGACCTTCTTGAGGGCTGGAGTCCCTGACTGGACCACTGTGGTAACGCCAGGAAGGAGTGTGTGTGTGTGTGTGTGTGTGTGTGTGTGTGTGTGTGTGTGTGTGTTAGGGGTGTCCCTTGAGTGAGGACTGACCCTTCCCTCCTGTAATTGCCAATCTGCTGAACTTTGAGCCTGGTTGCAGATCCACTCTGGTCGCATGGTGCTCCCTCTCGTTTGAATTCCTTCACACATTCAATGCCCACTGGAACCCCATCCCTCTGACCATATATAACTTGGATCTTGGATCTTCTCTGCCTTTGACTCCAAGCTAGTTTTGGCCACAGGTGAGCCACAGGTCTGAGCCTGCCAGCCTGGGCTCCTAGCCTTGCTTCTTGCTTGTATCCTCCACACATCGCCTCCAACAGAACATAGAGGCCAGAGTGGAATGGACAGCATGATGGGCAGAAGCCACCACTTGTACTTCTTCACGTACACAGCCTGACCACGGACATTTCTGAAGTATGTGTGACTCAGATCCAGAGACTCTCTGCCAAGGACCGCCTCCTCCAGGCTTCTGGCTTGGCTTCAGCGGCAGAAATCTCTCATTTAAGAAGTAGAATTTTCAGAACAAAAAGGATAAAAATGACCAAAATCTGTACAATCAAGCAGCAGACAAAATGGAAGTGAGCTTATGTTGGATGCCTCACGTGGTCGGTTTGAATGAATGCTACCTCCACAGTGTCAGGTGAGCCTTTTGCATCCGGACAAACAGGGAAGCAGGAAAACAGTGTCAGGATCATGTTTTGGATCACATACTGACGGGGTGTCATGGCGGAACAGTTCCTTCATATATACATGGGTGTCCTTAGTATCAATGCCATTGTTTCATGAGCTAAGAAGGTGGTTGCAGAGAATTAAAAAGACACATGTATTTAATGGCTCCAGAATATCCTAGATGTTTGCTGTCTATAGTGTGGAACATAACTAGCTGCTTAGTTAGAGACACAGCAGACAGACAATCTGTCCTCCCTCATCCCCAGCACACTACCATGCTCGTGGTAGATATGTTCTAACATGCAGTCAAGGAGCATGTTATGAGAACCGCTGGCTTTGAAGCTGGGAGAATATTGTCAGCCCAGTCATCTCCTGTCCAGCCATCACACCCAACACACTGTCCACTCACTGCAGTCAACACTTGTTCTGCCTCATCTCAGGATGAATGTGTGTCTGAAATTCTCCAAATGGGGGAACATCAGGCAAATGAGTGAGCCGCTTCAGAAATGAAGTACCTTCTTTCCCTATCTTCCACACGTTTTAACAGGAAGTTCAATTTTCTAAGCTTCCCTTCTTGGACTCCATCCATGAAGGTCATTGCTTTGCTGTCAGCCTCTTACCTGCCTGATGGTGCCACAGTGGCCATAAGGAATATTGAAGATGAGGTAACGCCCAGTGACTTGGGGGCGACACATCCTATCATTTAAATGGATGTCCCAGGAGGAGTAGCCTAATCTCCGGAGATAACCTCGGTCAATGACGGCTTGGAAGAGGAGAGGCAAACAGGACAGCTGAGCTGCAGGAGAGAGAGGGAAGCTGGTACATAGATGTGTAGCTCACGGGCTGTCTGTATGCACTACAGGCAGCACTTTGGGGTGGGCTGGGCCTGCTCAGCATCCCTGACTCCAGTGGTTCTTAACGGTGGACTGCATATCAGATATTTACACTACAGCTCATAACAGTATCAAAATTACAGTTATGAAGAAACAACAAGTAATTTTATGATTGGGGCTCCCCACAAAGTTAGGAACTGTATTAGAGGGTCACAGTGCTAGGAAGGTTGACAACCACTGATTTACTTTACTTTATCACCTTTATCACCTTGGCTTTACTTCCACTGATGTGTGTGTGTGTGTGTGTGTGTGTGTGTGTGTGTGTGTGTAGGAGGCTATATCTGAAGACTTAGGCTAGGACTGCTTTCCTTTTTTGTTTTGATGTCTTTTATTGATGTACACACACATACGCGGGTGTGTGTGTACATGTCTGTGGAAAACAGAAGGCACTAGGTTCCTTGGAACTGGGGTTACAAGAATTTCTAAGCAGCCTGATGTAGGTGTTGAGAACCTTTGTAAGATAAGAAAGTAATCTTAAGTAATGAGCCATGCCTCCAGCCACAAAACACTCCTTTTTCAGACAAGACGAAAGTGGTTGAGGCTGACTATATAGCTACGGGGTGACCCTGAACTCCCGAGATCATCCAGCCTCCACTCCTGAATGCTGGAATAGGCATGTACCTTCTTGGATTGTTTTTTACAATGCTAGGGAAAGAACCCAGGGCCTCCTGTGTGCTAGACAAGCTCTCTTCCAACTGAGCTACATCCCCAGCCTCAGCATCAACCTTCTGACAGATGAAGACCATTCCCCTTGTGTCGGGAAAATGATAGAACCTAGAATAGAACAGGCCTTATGCACCCAGGTCCCCAGACAGGTTTATATGTGCAAGCCCACTATGCTATGCTGTAGAACAAACAACTCACATTAGTTCAGTGATTCTCATCCTGTGGATTGCATAGCAGGTATCCAGCATACCAGATATTCACATTATAATTCACAGCAGCAGCAAAAGTACAGTTTTGAGGTAGCAACAAAATAAATTTATGGCTGGGAATCACCACAACATGAGGAACTATATGAAAGGGTCACAGCATTAGGAAGGCTGAGGATCATGAATTAATTTGAAGAAAAGAAATAATATGGAGGCTATTAAACTGTTCTGGCATCTTAGTTCCTACAAAAGCAAAACAAAGTCACTCAGTATAGATTGTTGTGACTAATTAGAAACTGCCAACTCACCTCTAACTAGGAACTTCCCACTCTAGTGATCCAAAGGAAGACATTGGCACACATTCACCAAGCAAACATTGGTCTTGCCTCCAACCTTGCCCTATCAAAGCCTGGCCTCTTGGTGAAGCCCAAATTAACCCCAGCTTGCAGCTTCTCAATTTAAAATAGTTATCTGCTCAGCACAAACTTTTCAAGTTTCAATGCACCAAATTATATTATTATATAATAATTATATACAAATTGGAGCTGAAATCGAGACCAAGGTGAATTACGCAGTTAGTGTCAAACTCTTGGATTCGGTGTGTGATTAGCTGTAGACGCCTAGGAAGCAGCTTCTTATGTATTAAACATGAAAGGGCACCGACCAGAGACAGGATGAGTTGCAGAGGAAGAGAAGCACATACAAGAAGAGCTGCAGTACCTGTCATGACGTCACCGGAGGGGTCTATAAAAAATACATAAAAAAGGTCGTGATCAAGAATTTGTATTCATATTTAATTATTTTTCTTAAAACACTGAAGACCATTGACCTTTTGAGGCACCCATTCCCCTGTACCCAGTGAGCATAGATGACCCTGACTCTTAGGAACTTGCACATTTGAACCTCAAGAATATGGACGGGGCCACTGACGACAAAAGGGAACTGCTGGTTCCTTGCTCCATCTAGAATCTCATGACATGTTCACCACTGCCAGCAGCTGATTGGTCCTCTCTCTATTGAACCCATAGCCAAGAGATTTCATCTCTGGTGGGTCTGAACCCTTCCCTTACTCTCTCTCATCTTCCCACCATCTGCAGCAGTTCAGCCCCACCATATTATCACTGTCATGTATGAGTGCCTTTGTTGATTAGAAACAGAGTATCTAATTGGGCCCTCGCCTCTAGATTCAGAACTTGAATGGTAGCTGGGATTTTAATCCATGAGGGCCCTGGCAACTGAGTACATATATTGACAGGCAGTACCTGCTGGTCCTCTGCTTGATGTGTCATCAATACCTATTCAAAGACAAATGTCAGGGTGAGAGACAGATTGATTAAAGTGGTCACATAACTCCCTATAAAAATCATGCACTTTGTTTAGGCTCAGACATGTTCAGCTCTGGGCCACTGAAAAACTAGAATTAAGACTCATCCAGGCTAGAGAAGGAATCAGAGATCTGGAGTGAGGGAGCACACAATGACACAATGCCCCCGTGGTTCAGGTACAGCATGGTGTTTGCTTGATTTTGGCCAGTTACTGGGCTAACAGAGCCTCTGTCACAGAGATGAGCTCGGTCTTTAACCAAGGACCTCAGTCAGGCAATACTTAGAGAATGTGGTCCTGCATGTGGGGTTGGATATGCCTTTGAGGGTCTGATCAGCTGAGCACAGATGCTCTCGATTCTACATTAGCCTTGGGCATGAACTGAAAAGTCAGATGCACTGGTTGTAGGACAGTGACATTCACAGAACCCTTGGTGGATACTGGATTGCTACCAGCACCCAGGCATGCCAGGCCAGGTATAATATGTCTGCTAATAGTGACCATTTATATAATTGCTATTTTCCAGGTGAAAATTTACAGATGCTGGAATCTATGCTCAAAAACTAACTCTTAAGTAAATTGACTTTAAAATCGGCTCAAATCCCAGAGCTGATTGCTGCCAGCTTGCCTGCTGGTATTGACATCTCCCTTCCCAATGGCTTGGCTTGGCAAAGCTCTGTCTCTGAGAGGCGATGCAAGCCATGCCACTCACCTGAGCATACCACGCTGGCATCCTCATGGTGCCCACAGTTGTGGGAGAACCATCCATGATGTGTGCAGTGCCACACCTTGGCTTCATCCCCCATGCACTGCACATCATCCAGCATGATATGGCCCATGCCTCCCTCAAAGTCGCTCTCAGTTGGGGTTGACATGGCCACACCACAGCCAAGCTGCTGGCATACCACCTTGACATCTGTCAGGTCCCAGCTGTTATGACACACTATGCCCCAGGTACCATTGTAAGAGATCTCTACTCGGCCCTCACACCTGTAGCTACCATTCACCAGTCTCAAGGCCAGACCCCAAAATGGAAAAATAGGTGCTTCTGAGATGTGACATTGTCCTCATATGATAGAGTCATTTGTAGGTTGAAAAACACGTTCTCTTTGTTAGACCCTAGTTGTGGCCCTGTGACCTGATTCTGTAAAATTGTATTGCTTTATGAGTACTGAAGAGCTATTGATGCCTGTTAATTTTTTAAATACCTCTCTCCCCTCCCCATGTGTGTGATCGTTTATGTGAGTGTAGACACATGCGTGGAGCTCAGATGATACCTTTGGTTGTTGAGCTTTGCCTAGCTTGAGATATGCCTCTTCATCTCTGACCGTATTCAGTTTACACCAGTCTAGCAGGCTTGCTAGTTTCTGAGAATCTGGCTGCCTCTGCCTCCCATTTCACAGGGATTACATATATGTGCTACTGCACCCAGCTTTGTGAGTTCTGGGGATCTGAACTCAGGTTCCCTACCCACTGAGCCATCTCCCAACCCAGTACGTTAGAGTCTCATAAGCTCCCAAAGATCCCAGTTGGAGGAAAACTTACATTACGCATAGAGAGCTCTACAATGTTCCTGCTCCTGCTGGGGGATCTGAGAGGCCCACGAGTGTTCTGGAGGCTGTGGGTTGAATCCAGTCAGAAGAAAGCTGACTGACTTTGTGACAGTTCCAGAGTAATCTTTCATATTATTGTTTTCCTTCCCTTGGGAGGGGAAGGTCTCTGTGGACCACAGACAGTACGAGACAGGAGTTCTCAGCCTTATGATTCTAGATGCTTTGGGTAGAAGGCAGGGACTGTGGGTGACAGAGCAGGGCTAAGGGCTATGACTGGCAGTGTGCGTGCCACTCAGTAGCAGAGGTGGACACATCAGGTGTGATAGAATTCAGGTCGTATTTTAAAAGCGTGTTCTCTCCAAATAGGAAAAGGCACAGCCAGAAGGACATCTTGCAAGGTGCATGTCAGGATACCCACCGTTCTGCCTTTCGTCTTGGTGAACAGTGTTGTACAGAGCACAGAACCCTGTGTTGGTGATCATGGCGTCACTTTTAAACACCACTGTCATGGAATTGGAGGAGGAGAGGAAAGTGAGTTCTGCCCCAGCACAGACTTTGCCCATGGACAATGAGGCAACTTGCTTTCCATCGAACACTTCGACAAAGTCATAAGGACACCCATAAGTGTCTTCTAGCCTGTGGGGACAAAGGCAGTGTTAGTCTCCCCAAATCAGTCAGTTCTGCCAGCTCCTCCCTCCACCCTCCTCTCATCACCTTTAAGAGTCCCTTAAATCTGCCCCTTCCATCCTCCACTTCCCCTTGACTATCCTGGTTTTTCATATTCTGGTCTCATCGTCTATTTTGCTGACCTCCATCTGGAATCCTCTCTTCCAATCTCTCTGACCTCCTTTCCCTTTACCCTAAATATTTATTTGATGTCCCTGACCCTTTAACTCAAGCCCTGCTTTGGGTGGTATCCAGTTTCCATCAGAGACTCACCGAGGAAAACACTCAGGAAGACCCTGATGGGGGAGATTATGACATTCTACAGGGGCCTAGTAGGAGGACTCATCTCACCAGTGTCCCAAACTGCCCACATTTTCATTAACCTGGGTGATGAGAGAACTGTGCCCAGCATCCTGCCTGCTGTCTTCTTCTGCCTTGACCCTAGCCCAGCTTTTTTAAATTTCATTTTATTCATTTTTATTGAGCTCTACATTTTTCTCTGCTCCCCTTCCCGCCTCTCCCCTCCCCTTCAACCCTCCCCAAGGTCTCCATGCTCCCAAATTTCTCAGGATATCTTGTCTTTTTCTACTTCGTAGGTAGATTAGATCCATGTATGTCTCTCTTAGGGTCCTCATTGTTGTCTAGGTTCTCTGGGATTGTGATTTGTGGGCTGGTTTTCTTTGCTTTATATTTAAAAACCACTTATGAATGAGTACATGTGATAATTGTCTTTATGTATCTGGGTTACCTCACTCAAAATGATGTTTTCTAGCTCCATCCATTTTCCTACAAAATTCAAGATGTTGTTATTTTTCTGCTATGTACTACTTCACTGTGTAAATGTACCACATTTTTGACCCTAGCCTAGTCTTACAAGTGTTGATTGCTCTGACTTCACAGCCCTTGCCAACTTAGCACTACCTGAAAATTTCCACTGAGTTCATGGTTTCTTTCAGAAGTGTTTTTCTTTCCATTTGGATGTAAACTCTCAGGGGCAGAGGGCTTATCTGTTCCTTTCAGCACTCTAAGCCCAGTCCTAGACAGAGCCCTCCCAGAGTGGGAAGAATCAATACATATAGAATGTACACTGGTGCTTATCGACCTTAATAAATATTAGACAGCATGTAACATGACTATAGAAAGTAGCCGTCTGTGCTTCCATTATAAATTTCCATTGCAAACACACATGCATGGATATATCTCACACCCAATAGACATACTTTACACACAAATTTGGTACTAGATTTTAAAATCTGCCATTGTACATCTATTCCAGTGAAGTAAAAACCAAACAACTAAAACTAACACATTAACTCCATCTAAAGAAGTTGACTGCTTGTATTCCCAGCAGCAATACAGAAGTGTTCCCTTTCCCCAACAACCTCTGCAGCATAAGTTGTCATTAGTGTTTTTGATCTTGGCCATTCTTACAGGTGTAAGATGGAATCTCAGAGTTGTTTGGATTTGCACTTCTCTGATGACTAAGGATGTTGAACATTTCCTTAAATGTCTTTCAGACATTTTAGATTCCTCTGTTGAGAGTTCTCTGTTTACGTCTTTACTCTGTTTTTTTCTTATTGGATTATGTGTTCTTTTGGTGATCTATTTTTTGAGTTCTTTGTATATTTTGGAGATCAGACCTCTGTCTGATGTGGGGTTATTGAAGAACTTTTCCCATTCTGTAGGCTGTCATTTTGTCTTGCTGACCGCGTCCTTTGCTTTACAGAAGCTTTTCAGTTTCAGGAGGTCCCATTTATTAATTGTTTCTCTCGGTGTCTGTGCTGCTGGGGTTATATTTAGGAAGTGGTCTCCTGTGCCAATGCGTTCAAGTGCATTTCCCACTTTCTCTTCTATAAGGTTCAGTGTGGCTGGCTTTATGTTGAGGTCTTTGATCCATCTGAACTTGAGTTTTGTGCATGGTAATAGATATGGATCTATTTTCATTCTTCTACATGTTGATTGTAACATGAGGGGGCCGGCTTGTTGGGGTATCTGTCCCGCCCAGTACCCCGGAGGCAAGCCCCAAAGGAAAATCAATCACACAGAGATCTCTATAAGTTATAAAGCTGATTGGCCCATTAGGTCAGGCTACTTATTAGTTCTTTTGACTTATCTTAACCCATTATTCTGATCTATGTTAGCCATTTGGCTTGGTACCTTTTCCAGCTGTCAGCTTACATGCTGCCTCTTTGGTGGTCTGCGCAGGAATGCCAGAGAAACCTCTCTGCTTTTCAGAATTCTCCTGTTCTCATTGCATCACCTCTATTTCCTGTCTGGTTTTCCCGCCTATACTGCCTGCCTGGCCAATCAGCGTTTTATTAAAATATGATTGACAGAATACAGACAATTTTCCTGCATCAGTTGATATCCAGTTATGCCAGCACCACTTGTTAAATATGCTTTCTTTTTTCCATTTGATATTTTTTGCTTCTTTGTCAAAATCAGGTGTTTAAATATGTGTGGATTGATATCCTGGTCTTCTGTTTGGTTCCATTGGTCCTCCCGTGTGTTCTTATTCCAATACCAGGCGGTTTCAGTACTGTAGCTCTGTAGTAGAGTTTAAAGTCAGGGATTGTGATACCTCCAGAAGTTCTTTTATTGTACTGGATTGTTTTGGCTATCCTGGGTTTTTTGCTTTTCCATATGAAGTTGGGTATCGTTCTTTTGAGGTCTGTGAAGTATTTTTCTGGGATTTTGATGGGCATTGCATTGAATCTGTAGATTGCTTTTGGTAAGATTTCCATTTTTACTATGTTATTTCTGTCTACCCAAGATTATGGGAGATCTTTCCACTTTCTGGTGTCTTCTTCAATTTCTTTCTTCAAAGATTTAAAGTTATTGTCATACAAGTCTTTCACTTGTTTGGCTAGAGTTACTCTGAGATATTTTATGCTATTTGTGCCTATTGTGAAGGGTGTTGATTCTCTGATTTCTTCCCCAGCCCTTTTATCATCTGTGTATAGGAGGGTTTCTAATTTTTTTTAGTTAATCTTGTATCCTGCTACATTACTGAAAGTGTTTATGAGTTATAGAAGATCCTTGGTAGAATTTTGAGATTGCTTATGTAAAATATCATATCATCAGCAAACAATGAGAGACTGGCTTCTTCTTTTCCAATTTGTATCCTTTTAATCTCCTTTTGGTGTCTTATTGCTCTTGCTAAGACCTCAAGAACTATATTGAATAGATATGGAGAGAGTGGACAACCTTGTCTTGTTCCTGATTTCAGTGGAATCGCTGGGAGTTTCTCTCCATTTAGTTTGATGTTGGTTGTTGGCTTGCTGTATATTGCCTTTATTATGTTTAGGTATGTTCCTTGTATCCTTGCTCTCTCCAAGACCTTTATCATGAAGGGATGTTGTATTTTGTCAAATGCTTTTTCGGCATCTAATGAGATGATCATGCAGTTTTATTTTTCAGTTGGTTTATATGATGGATTACGTTGACAGATTTTTGTGTGTTGAACCATCCCTGCATCTCTGGGATGAAGCCGACTTGATCATGGTGGACGATGGTTCTGATGTGTTCTTGGATTCGATTTTCAGTGAGGCATTCTCATCTTGCTTCCTGTGCATTTGACTGGTGACATTCCTCTGCCTTTTCTCTTTCCAGAATTCTTAGTCTGGTTGCCCCGCCCATATGTCCTTCCTGGCTTCTGTCCAATCAGTTTTTTACTAAAGCAAAATGAGTGACAAATCCTTGTAGTGTCCAAAAGCATTATCCCACTGCTCTTACTGACTGAACCATGGTTGCAGTAATTTTTCCTTATCATTGATTTGCCCTATAGTGACCTAACAAGCTGTTATATGGTTAGCTGTGTCTCAGTCTTGAAGGGTGTCTGCAATCATAGTGAAGGAGCTGAGTGAGAAAGTGTGCTATCCCGTAAATTGGTGCAGAAATTTGTGACAGGGTCCTGACACTGAACTCTCAGATTATGATGGATCTATTCTGTCCGAGGAACTGCCTTTTCACTGTTAGTGGGAGATGCATTCCCAGCCTGACTGGAGTCCTACTGTGCCCTCTACCCCTGTGCTAAATAATTAGACAACCATTATTTGCAGAAGTAACAGTAAATGTTCCTGAAGGAGATCCAAGCAAGACAATGCTGATTATCCATTGTCCACCCTCACAACCTGGCTTTGTTCATAGGTTTATAAACAGACTTGTGAGTGTGTCTGTGAATGGACCCAGTGGCTATTTCTTCAGTTGCTATGCATAATTGGAATAAATAGACTGAGGAGTCCATAGAATCTCCACATTGATTCCTTGACCAATGGAGTGTGGTATACTGTAGTTAGAAGGCCTGTAGAAGCTATTATATGTGACTCCTTGGGAAAATTGTGAGTTGATGCCAGTAATCATATCCTTGGAATAGTTACGCAGAGAGCACACCAATAATGTGAAAGATGTGGGGTGATGGTTTCAACCACATCTCTGTTTGTCTTTCCTGTTTGACCTATGCAGAGGACAGACAGATGTTAGAGGATGACAGTTACATCTCATTCCGTGGTGGGTGGGTCAAAGTGCTACTGCTGCTGCAGTACAATGTGATTTCTTTCGTATTTTTTCAGATTATTTATCTCCTGGTAGTGCATGTGGCAACTGATGAGGTAAGTGCTTTTTTCTCCATACCTGTCTGTGAGGTCCATCAGAACCAATTTGTTTTCTGATGGCAAATCCAGCAGTATAACTTCACTGGCCAGTCTCTAAAGCATACTAACTGTCCCAGAACCTATTTCTCTTTGCACTTTGTGCTTTCTTAGATATGGCCACTTCTGCCCTTTTGACACTAGGTGTCAGTCTATATTAAGGTTTGCATTAATTTTACTGCACTCTTAGTGTCATCTGAAATAAAAGCATGGTATTTTAAAAGGGAGATGTTGGAGACGTCTAGTGAATGCGTCCCTCACACATTCTACTACTTGTCAAGCGTGACTTCTTCAGTCATTTTCTAGGGACCTTGGTACAATTCCAAATGGGGTCCATGTGTACATGCACAAAGCACACTCGCGCACGCGTGCGCGCGCACACACACACACACACACACACACAGCACACACACAGCACACCACACCATATTACATCACATCTGTCCTAAGAACTCATTTAACACCCATAGTAGCCTGGGGACATACCCTGTCCTTGTGGTGGAGTACATCTTAGAACACATACAGGTCTGGATAAACACACACGCATGCATGCGTGCAAACACACAGACACACAGACCCCTAAAAATGTAGTCAAACACTTTAGTTATATATGTTCTCTCTTCCAAAAATAGAAAAATATTCTATACATTTCTAAGAGACATTTTAAAAAAAAGAAAAAAAAGAAGCTACTGGTTTTTCTTGTACTGGAGGGATTTTATATGTTATTTTTCTCAGATTTCTAGCATTGCATTCATTTGTATACTTGAGTTGAAGTCACATAGTTTTGAAAGAAAACCACAGATAATGAGTAGATAGATATTTCATAGGTATATATATATATATATATAGCTAGATATGCAGGTATTTACTAATGTGTAAACTCTTTAAATACATAAATTAGAACACAAGTAGAGACAATATGACAGCAGGATAAAATTTAATTTTACAGAAAAGGTATAGCACAATACTTGAAGGAAAATGTTTAAATTTTAATTTGTATAAAAATTTTTACAGTTTGGATTAAACCTGAGACTATTTATAAATGAAAAAAAGTTAGTTAAAACCAACACTAACTTCAGAAATTATTGGCAGAGCTATAAAAGACGTACTAATTTAAAAACAGACTGTGATGCTCAAAGCCTACTGATGCCACAGGAATGCGGCCAATGCCAGTGTGAGCTGCCTGTGAGAAGGCACAGAGGAGGTCCCGCATGGCGTGATCTGTACCCAGGTTGTGATTGACACTGTGGCAAGAGTGGGACCGATAGAATGGATGTAAGTACTAGAAGTGAATTCTTCCAAATCTATCACTTCACCTAAAGTTTCTGCCTTTGATATCAGAATAGTAAAGTCATAGAATAATATGGAAATGCAATATACTCTCTTTTAAAAATTCATTTGAAAATGGCTGGCTTATTTATCCTTAAATATCGAAATTAATTCACCTGTGAAGCACTCTGGGCCTGAGTTTCTCTTGTGACTATTGCTCTCATCCTTCACTTCTTATATGAGCATTCATAGTTTAAATTCTTTTATGGTAATTATTCTTAGGCTGCTTTCATTATTTTTATCTTATTACTATTAATTTATTTGTATAAACTGCTTGCACAACTGTGTTCACTATGTGACCCTAAGTCCTTTTATTTTCTGCAGAGTTGGTAATGATTTTTCCTTGTTCATAAGAGGTGTGGAAGTTTTGATGCTGATAGTGATGTCTGAGCTATGCAATGATGCAATGCTGAAAACACCAACTTTGACTTCTAGGTGGTAGACCTTCCTTCCTTTCAAGATGAGTCACATGACTGGCAGGAGGCAAGGGTTGGGGGACATGTCTCAAAGAAAGACTGTCTTCTTCTACAGATGCTTTTAGGCAGAAAATAAGAATAAGTAATCTTTAGTGTGGACTCAAATAGACCTTAATGTCTTATACAATATGATCCTCATTTTATTCTCATTCTCCACTTTCCATATTTTATTACAAATTTCTTTTTAAAAAGTTTTTATGTTGCATGCATATTTTACATGGATGTATGTTTGTGCACCACATGCGTGTCTAGTGCCCACAAATGTCAGAAGAGGGTGTCAAATCACCTGAAACTTAAGCTACATATGTTTCTGAGCTGACATGTGGGTGTTGGGAATGGAATCAGGTCTTCTACAGGACTAATCAATACTCTTAACTTCTCAGACATCTGTCAAGCCTCCTATAAGAAGTGAAGAAATGTCTCACTAGGTTTTGCCTTGGTTATCCTAGAAATAAGTATGTTATCTGTCACCTCAAAAATAAATCACTGAACTTTGAATGTTCATTCACATTCAGTTAAATACACACACCCACACCACCACCACCACCACCACCACCACACTAGAGAATTATTTCTAGTTGCCTTTCCCATGCCTTTTTTGATTGACAGATAGCAAAGAAATATCAAAATGATTTGTTTATGTATCACAGGGGTCTTGATCTGTGCTTAAAGACAAAACAACAAAAACCCTTACAAATAGATATAAAAAATCAGAAAAAAATAGTTTATTTTGAAAGAAATAACATGTACAGTTCTTGGGACTTCATTGCACTTGTCACTATTTTCTGTGTACTGATGAATAAATTTTTTTATGATGAAAGACCCATGCCACCACAGGGATTCTGAGCACAAGGATCATATAGTATCACATAGTAGCTATTGTTGTTAATTGAAGGAGGCAAGAAAAATTGGTCCCTTTGCTCCACCAGATCTCCTGAAACATTCTGCTAGTTTTCCAAGAAATATATGGAGTTCTCTGGCCACTATTTGCAGGTCTGAGCTTTGGCTGAAGCCAAAGCCATGAAAATCAAGAGGGCGTCACTGAACACACCTATTCAATTTTTAATCAGCTATATTTTAGGAAGCTTAAGCATTGCTGCCTGTGATGGTTTGATTGTCTGCATTATCTCTCTGCTATATATTTCCAAATTTGTTTTTATTCTTAAGAAACTAATTATTGTTCATCTGCAGAGTTATAAAGTCACTTTGATTCCATGTTGGATTCATTATTTGAGTTACAAGACAGGAAAATCACATTATAGAACAAAGAGAACATTCAGTTTCAGACTACAAATGAATATATATGTATACATATACATAAGCATTTATATACCTATGCACAAAGGAAGATAGATACATAGGCATATACACATAGTAAATATATGACAGAATTATATTCATACATAGAAATTATAGCTGTTCCAGGATGATAATATCACATTTTAAGTTGCACACATATTTGATGTATATTATCTAATTCTTATTGTAACAATCTAATTAAGGATTTGGTCAGAGCACAGCTTTTGGTTCTGTTACTGAAGACATGCATTCAGAGCTGGCTGAGAAGGGTTAACATGCAATTATTAAGCATAATTGCCTTAATAGCTTTGATGCAGGAAAAAACTTAAGATCAGAAGGAAGGAAGTAGAGCCTAAGATGCTGACTGAATCCATTCAAGTGTGCCATTGGTCTTTACCAAGTCAAGGCTGTTAACAAGACTAGTCTTTGCAGGAGAAAGTAGCCCTACTTAGAAGGGAGGTAGCCAGGCTCCAGCATCCTGAACACAGGCAAACTCAGCATAATCCCAGGAAATGCATTTAACTTCTCAGAGCCTCCGTTCCTTTGTTTGCAAAAGGGAAGGAAAAAAGCAGCAATGTGTTAGGGTCACCTGTTTTCATGTCCAGATAATCCTCATTAGCTATTCAATCACCTTCTACCCCTTCATTTACAGTCCTATCTCACTGTCCAAATGCCCTGACCTTAACGTCATGGTGACTGATTATCCTATGTGTCATTCATGGCAGCATAGGGCAGCACATCCTAGAGGAACAAAGTCAAGATTCCCAGAGGCCTCTAGCATACTCACCCGAGAGAAGTCAGAGTGACCCTGGTGACCCTGCTTCCACCACAGCATGGCAGCAAGCACAGTCAAGCCAAGCTCCAACACACTGCAGATCAGCATCAGTGAAAGGACTCCCTAAATTCAGGAGAGGAGAAGTTGGGGTGACTGAACCAGCTGAAGCCTTGCTGGGACGTGACTATAAAGAGGAAACCATCTCCACTGTCAGAGAGTGAAGAGAGGACACTATGAAGAAGGGAAAGGGATCCTTCCAAACCCAGGCTTAAACCAAGGCCTGAACCCTTCATTCCCTGAGGGGAAGTGGATGAAAGCCAAACTAAATCAAAGCTGTTTTATGCCACTGCTTCTCGCCTGTCTTGGGCAGGGGTCCCTGACTACACTGTTCACTCAGCGACGGAGCAGAGTGGAGTAGTGAGTGCCAGGACAGAGTCAGGGGCTCCTGCTCTTGGCTCTCTTAGTGGGAGGCTGGGCAAGTCTCTGCTTCTCTGTTTTCTGTCTGCTCACTTCTCACACGTATGCAATAATTCCCCCACAGAGACTTGTGAGGGTTAGTGAGGTTCTGACAGTGCAACATCTTTGTAAAAGTCAGCATTGATAGAACCTTCTTCCTCGGGGTGCGTTTCCTTGGCCATTTTCGTGATGGTAAAAGGCAGAGAAACAGTCAAGTTTCTACAGTCTGTAACATCACAAACTAATTAGAAGAAGGGCCTAGGTTAGTAACACACAGCCCATAACTTCTGTCTTGAGGTGTCCTTAATGAAGACTCCTTGACTGTAAGGAAGATGAATGTCATTCTGTAAACTTTTCCTTTGTCCATACACAGGTAGAAATGTGTTAGTGCACACCTCCATTATCTAGACACTGTCCCAGCAAATACACTCAACCCACTCTCTGAATTACAATGTGAAACTGTCCCATCATGCCCTCGTACTTGTAGTTCATGCAGATTCCTCTCCAATGCTTCAGGTTTCTAAAGTCAGGCTTAGTTACTCCAGACATTAATTTACTCCCATTGTTCTGCACCTACTTTGCATATACCTTTTTGTATTGTGGTTTCTTAATTAAGGAAGATACACGGAACCCAGCTCAATAAGGGTCTGAGACCCTCTGGTCATTTTCCAGTTTTATTGTCATAAGGGAATGCATATTCTTCAGTATCTTCACTGTTATCTGTGGGTCAAGGCTCTTGGTCTTTCATAATTTATGCTTTAAAATTAAAACTTTTTTTAAATTCTTAAGAACTCTAAAAGCAATATTTATGGTTTCATCACCTACATTATTTGGTAATTTTCCTTCAATTCCTTGCTATTACCATGTAACTTTTATTCTAGACTTTGAATTCCAAGCTTATTACTTTGGTTATTTGTATGTTTATTTTATTCCCTAAGATGTCAAACCAGACAGAGTGAAAGGTTTTCAAAAGATAGGGGAAGAGCTCTAGTTTCCAAAAGCAACATGCAGCCTTGAGGAAACTCACAGTCAGAACAGCCTTGGTGCTAGAGCAGTCATTGTTGTCGAGGGGACGGTGGTAGTAATACTGCTCAGCTGGTCTAAAAAGTTTGCTCTGCTCACACTGCTCTGAGGCAGGATGCACACCAGCCAGGCTGACAGAGAGGATAACGATGCCCATGAAAGCAAATAAAATACTCAGGATGTTCGTGATCAGGCTGCCCTCTACCTGAAATGAGCAACAGGTTTTTTCATTCATACCTTTTTCCCAAGAAGTCACACCAATTCTCTTTATTTGTCTACCTTGGCAGCTGAAAGATTAATAATTTGTTTCTCCAATTCCCTAACTCATAGTTGTGACCACTCGAAAGAGGAGAGGCCCTAGTTTTCCTTATTTTCCTAGGCTCCATTTCCTAGATGATGTTTGATCAGATCACTTTACCCAACCTCTATCATGTGTATTAGCCCCACAGAATGTCTAGGGACACACAAAATTCCATGCATGGGAAAAGCCTCAAGGAACAAATGACCAATGTCACACTTAGGCTCTCAGAGGAGTCTCTCTGCCCATGTACTATTTAGAAAACACAAAAAGGTAGATAAGTGTAGAAATATATCCCATTAAGATAAATAATGATTTTAAGAGGAAGTAAAAACATATTTTGTGGATTGGAAAGGGACATTTTGGAATTAGATAATTTTTAGATCCTAAAGCATTGGTGTACAGGGAGAGAGACTGGAAAATAGCTATGTGGTTTGTCCCCTCTTTCATTAAGAGCTATGCCAGTCTGATTTGCATATATTAACTATGGGAACTTCTGTCAGTGACTCTCACTTGAACATGTTGCAGTATCTTTTCAACATGCAATTTTCAATCTGCCAGAATTTTAGTGAGGAGTTTTGAAGCTACCATCATTAGGATGTTGGCCCATTCTTTCCATTTCTTGTCACACTTGTGGCTGACATTATACCATCATCCTGGTGTCACGATAATACTGGTGTCCTAAATGAATTTGAAAGAGTAACCCCTAGCTACTCAAGAAATTTCCCAGCAAATGCAAATCAAAACAACTTTGAGATCCCATCTTACACCTGTCAGAATAGCTAAACTTAAAAATACCAATGATAGCCTATGTTGGAGAGGATGTGGAGTGAGGGGAACACTCATCCATTGTTGGTGGGAATGCAAATTTGTGCAGACACTGTGGAAATCAGTGTGGCGGTTTCTCAGGAAACTGGGAGTCAACCTCCCTCAGGACCGAGCAATTCCACTCTTGGGAATATACCCAAGAGATGCCCTATCATACTACAAAAGCATTTGTTCAACTATGTTCATAGCTGCGCTATTTGTAATAGCCAGAACATGGAAACAACCTAGGTGCCCCTCAATAGAAGAATGGTTAAAGAAGGTGTGGAACATATACACATTAGAGTTTTACTCAGCGGTAAAAAACAATGACATCTTGAATTTTGCATGCAAATGGATGGAAATAGAAAATGCTTTACTGAGTGAGGTAAGCCAGACCCAAAAAGAGGAATATGGTATGTA